TCTCTCTCTCTCTCTCTCTCTTATTGATCAAGAAATTTAGGGAGAGAGACAAATTAGGGTTTCGTTTCAGAAACCATAATGAATGTCATGCGTCGCCTCAAGAGCATCGCTTCCGGCCGCTCCTCTGTTTCCGATCCTGTAATTCTCTGTCTCTCTCTCTCTCTATATATATATATATGTATAATATTTGTGTGTACAAAATGCATATATATGGATGCTTATGTGTAAATAAAACAAAGGAAAATGAATTCAAAGAAAGGAAAGGAAATTTTGAATCTTGTGATTTGGGTTGTGGTTGTTTCAGGGCTGATACATATAGTTGTTTAGATTTTTTTTTTCCCCTGCATTTTCTTGTATAATGAAATTGAGCGATATTTTCATTATATATGTATGTGTATTTTTGTATATGAATTATCTGCATTTATACAGCATATACACACATTTTTGTTATTATTTGTTCCACCTTTTGATCTGTCGACCGGATTTTTATTTTTTCTTTCTTCCATTTGTTTCCCCCCTTTTTTTTAAACTTTTTTTCTTTTTTTTTTTTTTTTTTTTTTAGAAAATGTTTGAAAATTCTAGAAAATGAGCTTTAATGGTCTTGTGTGTGGGGATTCCATTTAATTTGACGTTTTGGCCTTGTATATATATATATTTTTTTATTTTATTTTTTACATTAATAGGACTCAATTAGAACTCTAATTTTAAGAGATGAATCACTACTTATTTTTTTTAGCCATACTAATTTTTTCCGTTAGAAATGCTGCCAGATAGGTCATAGATGGTAAGTGGAATTCTTGTGATGAGAATTTCAAAATATAATTTCCTTATAGATAAGGGGTTGATTGGGAGGATTGTATCCTTTATGCTGTATTTGGTTGGTAAATTTAAAAAAAAAAAATTGGAAAGAAAAATAAAAAATATAAGTGAAATTTAAATAAAATATACTTATATTTTATTTAGTTTTACATATCTTTTCTCTTTCTCTTTTTAAATTATTTCTCAAATCCCCTAATAGTTTTACACATCTTTTCATTTTTAGTTTTCAAATCCCTTTTAAATCTCCTAACTAAATATATTGTTAGTAAAAAATCAGATTCATCGTATATCAATACGCACGTTATTGGATCTTTGTTGTGCCTCGACGTAATAACAACTGTTGTGGTGTGCCTATTTTCAGAGCCCATCCAATGTTCACATCTATGATCTATGCGGTTCATTTTATAAGGCATATCATCTAGATTGTTTATGTAAAAAAGTGAAGTTAATCAAACTTTGGAAGTCATATGATTAAATTACATTTGTTTTATCAAAGTAAACTTCAAATATAATTTTGAAAATAAATCATTCATTCATGTTAAAAGAATAGCAAACCTGCATTTGAGCAAGATCAGTGCTGACAATGAAATCGTCTGCACCCAACCGGTGTTTAGCCTCGTCTTCTTTAGATGGGGAGGTGCTGATGACAGTGACATGGTGACCAAAGGCCTTGCCGAATTTGACAGCGACATGGCCGAGACCTCCGAGTCCGATCACTCCGAGCTTTTTGGGGGGGGAGTCAAGCTCAAGCATGTTGTTGTCCTTCAATGGGCAGAACACAGTTACACCAGCACACAACAATGGTGCTGCTGCATCCATTGGTAGGTTTTCTGGCACATGCACCACATATCTGTCCACCCAATCCAATTACAGTCACAACCAACCACATTTCATTTGAATCACACCAAGAGATCTTAAAGAGAAGTCAAATAAGAGAATTCAATGTTTTACTCTGCTATACACATTAAATCATAGAAAATTGCTGAAATATTTAATGTGCCGAATGTCTGAGACCCACAACAACAAATATCACAGATATTTTTATTTTGTTTGATTCTGTAGCTATACTACCACGTAAATTTGTGGATAGATGTCTTTGTTGGAAGCACTCATAATCGTTGAATTATGTACCAATTTTTTTTTACATAAATGTAATAATTGTAATTCTTTTAAAAAAGAGGTGTTGGATATTTGGAGAATAAAATAAGAGTTTTGATATGGACCCTACAAAACCTAACCCCGATCTTCTGAGAGAGAGGGAGACAAAACAAATAAAATAAAATAAAATAAAAAAATACATACATACATATATATATATATATATATATATATATGCCTTGTCCACATCAATTGAGAGTCATAGGGATCATAAAATAATATTATTGACCCTTTTAACATATTTATCTTAAATCATAAAAAATTATCCAAAGTATTTGTGAGATTCTTTGTTCTCAAATCTTTCTATTCTCTTACCAAAACATTCATAGCTAGTTGAATCATGCCTCAAATTTTTTGCATCTCGAGATTTTCACATGATTCAAAAGTTGTGTGAGTTTAGACAGAGAGATTTGGGGGATAAAAAATTGTTGGCAATTTTTTCATATATTTTTTCGTATTGGGTTGGGAAAAACAGGGTAGGGTATAGGCCATTTACCTCTGATCTGCAACGAGCATTTTGGAGTAGCCACCATAGGTGATGCTACCATCCCAGAAAATGCCATTGTATGTAAACTGAATCTGGTCACAGTAGTTCTCCTGCGAGTCCTTGCAGAACTCGCATTCCAAACACGACGCCGCCAAGCATCCCACGCCCACCCTGTCCCCTATCTTGAACTTGCTCACATTGCTTCCCACCTTGCTTATCAACCCTGTTATTTCATGCCTACCAAACACACACACACACACACAAAACATTTGTTATATTAATAGAATTTACTTGTGACCCATTCCGTGAAATTTCTCTGTGCAATTAGGCTTTTTTGCGGTTATTTACTTACCCGGGGACAACAGGGTACATGGTGATGCCCCAATCGTTGCGAACGTGGTGAAGATCAGTATGGCATATACCACAGTACAAGATATCGATGGTCACATCGTTGATGCCATTTTCTCTGCTTATACATAACACATGAAACATTGACATGTATCTATAATATATACTAAAACTTAATGATAGTTGAAATTAATTGGGCATACCTTCTTTTGAAGGTGTAAGGGGTGATCTTGCCAGAGGAATCATGGGCTGCCCAGCCAGAAACAGTTTGTGTGTGGTTTGGAGTTGTTTGAGCCATGAGAGAGAGAGAGAGAGAGGGAGTTGGGATGGTTGATTCCTTGAATGTATAGCGTATAGGCTACAGCAACTTGGTTCTAAGATGGGATGAAGTTTGCTCCTCTTATAGTATTTAGTGCAGCATGGGACAAGCATGTGGTAGTTGGCTTGGTAGGTAGTTATGAATACTTTAATCGAAAATGTTTACTTTCTGAGATTTTTTTTTTTTTTAAATTATTTACTGGAATAATATAGTTATAATTTACGGTATCTCGATGAGTTTATAATTTTAAAATGTCATGTTCATAACTCAAAACATCGTTGTGTATAATATTTTATATATAAATACTTTCTGTTTATATGTCATTATTCATATTTAATTAAAACTTTAATTAATGACTTGTCTTGTCTAACAAAGTATTAAATAATTATATATTTCTCAACTATAAATTTTTATGAAAAATATAAAATTATTTTAAACTCATTAACCATATCGACAAGACTCGTCTAATATATCCACTTTTATATACAGCCATATAAAATGTGTTAATGAACTCAATTATTAGTGGAAAAATTTCATTGATATATATATATATATATATATTGGGGGTTGTATGTGAATCAAATGTTTTCAGAGAGGGATTAGTTTTACCAACATTTTGGTACATGCATTACCATAATTAATATAAGAAAAATTCTTTTCATAACACATTAATAATTAAATTATGGGGTTAAATACATTGTTGATTTCTAAAGTATGAGCTCTATTTATGTTGTTCCAAATCTTTTAATTGCATCAATTTAATCCCCAACTTATTCCATTTGTATTTGAACAGTCCCTAATGCTGTTTTCGTTCAAATTCTGACCATATTTTGTACATATTTAGACAAAATATATTAACTTCAGTTATAAAATTTAGACCAAAATGACCTTAGGTTCGTCTAAACACAATTTCAATAAGTTGAGTTCATAAGAGGTGTCTGTTTCAGTTTTTCAGAGTCAACTTATGGCTTTTAGCTTTGAAAAAGTTATTTTAGACTGTTTGGTTAAATTTATTTCAAATAGCTTCTGATTCTAACAGCTTATTTTAACTCCAAAAAACTGATTCTGAGAAGCTGCTCACCCCTTGCTTCTGATTATCAGCTTTTGCTATGGACATGTTAATTTATGGTTTTACTCTTAAATTTTTTTATTTTTTATTTTTTTTAAAATAGAAAAAGACTCAAATAGACTATAGATTATTATTATTATTATTTATGATAAATGTAGATAAACAAAAAATAAAAATTAATTGAAAAAGCTATTTCACAGCTTATTTAACAAACACTACTCAGCAACTTAAATCTATAATCCAACAGTTACACCAAACAAATTAACAACTTCTAATTAAAGTCATAAGCTATAATTTGTTAAACTATAATCTATAAGCTGTTTTAACAGGTACACCAAACAGGGCCATAGTCATTTCCGTTTAAATTTTATAACAAAAAGCGCAGAGATATTCCGTCCAAATGAACAGATATTTAGACAAAAACTATAATATGGACTATTTGCTTTGGTCCCCAATTCATCCATTTTATTCATCAATACTTCCATATAATTTTGTCCAAATTTCATCATTGAGATAAAAATTAAATAAGTTGGGGATCAAATGAATACAATGAAATATTACAGACCAAAATAACATATAATGAATATACTTTGAAAAGTGTAAAGTCCTTTATTTTAAAATGAAAAGTCTCACTTCAGCTATATCAATGTCATTTGTTGCAGTCTCAAATAAGTTCAAAGCTAATGGAATAATGTAAACGAAGAAGCTAAAATAGTCACTTTCTCAATAATTGAAATTTTTATTTTTGCTTATTTTAAATTATTTTTAGGACATAAAAAAATAAAAATAAAAATAAAAAATTGCAATAAATATTGCAGAACCACCGTCCACTAAACCGTGATAAGCGTTTTTTCTATAATGAGAGGGACCAAATGAGGGTATTGGATATTTCTTAAAAGTCGCTTTTCATAAGGGAGAAGCTGGCTTATTTGGACCCCGCAAAACTCTTGACTGATGAAAACTGTTGAATTGAATTTCACTATCAATTCCTTTCGACTTCACTATAATTTTCTGTGAAATTTAGCTGAAACCTTCTAAATATAAACTTTTATTTGTATAATAATTATATATATATATATAAATCACTATGCCTGAAGTTTCTGTTCTTCTTCTTCACAAACTAACAACAAGATATCACCACCACCTAAATAAAATTAAATAAAAACGTAATATAATTTTTATTAATTTAAAAATAATTAAAGCACTTTTTTTTTGCAAATATCAATTAAACAACACCTCAGAGCTCAATTGAAAATGATCGAGAGAATGCTCATGGTGGATAGGTAAGTAATAAGAATTATTATAATTAGACCATCTTAAATTTTTATTTTTTTTAATTATTGTGTCTAATTTAATGGTAATTGGTGAGGGAATATAATGACATACTATTCCGAGACTGTTGTATAAATTTCCCTAATGTTAATTAATTCACATGACTTTGGGGATAATTATTGATATTTGGTGCTTATTTGCAGGGTATATTCCATATGTCCCCATCTTGAATCTACATCTACTCATTAACAATGAAAATATAAATAAATAAAAGAAATTTACTGCGAGTAGTTGCTCCGTAGGTTCTACTGCATCCCGGATCTACATCCATTTGGTGTCATTTATATAAATTTATTTATAGTTTATTTTATTTAGTTTACTAGGTTATGTGAATGGAAGAATTCAAGTCAGTACAATAATAAAATCACACAATCACCTTTTTTTTAATAAGGGAAATGGCTTTTTCGAATTTACTAAATCGGTTGTGTCCGATCAGGTACAGTTTTCATTGTATTAGAATTTTTTATCTGACACTTGATTCATAAATTTAAATTTAATTTTTTTATTCAAAAATTCACACTCTAAAATATTTTTTCCGGAAGGATAATTTACAATAAAATGATCAAATTACTCTATATATAAATATATATATTATATGGTGGAAACCAAATCAAACCCTCTCTCTTTTCTCTGTTCTCTCTCTTTCTTCATTTCAACATCATCACCAGTACCGGCCTAGCTTAAGCCCCCAAAAAATTAGCCCAAAATAAAGTCTCAAATTTAGTAAAGTGTCATAGGCCCAAAAAAAAATTTTTAGGTCCCAAAATATTCTATTGGACCCATATTTATTTATAAGTGTGACTTGTCTCAATTAAAATTAAAATATATACAAAAAAGTGTTTGTGGCCCAAGAAGAAGAACAATACATACATTTGTTCTCTCTCTCTCTCACAAAGTGATGAAGGAAGCATTCTCTCTCACGTAGTGATGAAGGAAGCATTCTTCAAGCATACCAAGCATAAAGCAGCGGCAAGTAGGAGATTCTCTCTCTCTCTCTATCAGATTTTATTAAATAAATTTGCCCTAATTTTTTTACCTTCTTTATCTATCAGATTTTAGTGGAATAAATAATTTTGCCCTGATTTTTTTACCTACATCTTTATCAGTTTTGATTGAATAATTTTTTCCTAGTTTTTTGCCCTAATTTTTGTTTCATTAATTTTTTTTTTTTTTTTTTTTTTTGTAATTTCTTTGCTATCAAATATAGATAATCAGTGGATTGTGATCTGTGGATTGAAGTGTGATTATAGTCATGTTTCATAGGAAGTATAGTTCTGGAAATGAAAATAGAAAGAAAAAGATAAAAGTAGAACAATTAATTCAATTTCAATTGGGAGCACTTGATAAATATTTTGGTAGCAAGAAACAAGTAGATAAAGATTGAATGGATTAGCTATATTGTCTATTGAAAAGGATTTGGTAGATAAATTAGATTATACAAACTTAATTAGTGATTTTGCAACTAAAAATGTAAGAAGAGTAGTATTTAAGTGATAGTTGGTCAATTATAAACTGGATATTGCTAAACTATAAAATAACAAAATTAGTTTTTAATATTTTTGAGTCATTGTACTAATTTCTTCCTATCTTAATAAATGAAAGTAAATTTTAGTTTATAATTTTAATGATTATGTCACGACCCAAACCCGGTACTCAAACACTCGGCGTCGCAACAAGATAAAAATAAAATAATTCTAATAATTTTGTAGTCGTGGCACAAGCGAATAAATTAAATAAATTAAAATAAAATAATTGGGTACCAAATGTTTATTAAAAGGAAACCAACATAGTCATTTGGGCTTTTATTTTATTCTAGGTGTCCAATTAGAAATACAGATAGTACAAAAAAAATAAAACAATGTGGTCTATCCCCCATCTTGATCTTGCTAAGTCTCATCACCTGAAAGGGGTAACAGTTATAAACACATAACAAAGTGAGAAATATTATACTGCGAGTATAGGGGCACAAAATAGTCATGGATAGTTATTTAAGCTAAAATATTAACATAATTTAAGTTGCATAAATAAATTATTTAAGTGGCAGAAACTGAAATAAAAATTACGTAAATAACTATAACCACGATATAGAACAGAACAGAACAGGGGTCACTGGAGTGACAATCAGGATATGGGTCAATGGATCTACGACAAACAGAGGCCCACAAAGTGGCCAAACAGGGGGCCAATGGTTTATTTAATCCCCTAAGGCGTGGGACTCCCATGGTGGTGCTTACAGAACATAATTGTTTATAAAATCTGTGTCAAATAATTTCTAAAATTTAAACAAACATATCCATGAGTTTTAATTTAAGAAAATAAAGTTCAAAAAATAATCCACGTAATTAAAACATTTACATAACCATAAAATATAAATTATATAAAATAAATTATGATAACTCAAAACATTCGTAAAATATATTATGATAACTCAAGACATATTTAAAACATATTATGGTAGCTCAAGGTATAATATAACTCACCTTAATGTTAATTCTTACTATTTATCCCACTCGATTATCTGAGTTGCACTCCGTGCCTTTATTATTATTTTTTTTTCTTGCTTCTACGTTCTCACATTCCCCCTTTTTATACATGGCTCACATACCTGCTCAACATACAAATTCTTCCCTACTCAATTACTATATAGGTGTCACAACTAAATG